AATATATACTAATTATAATTATTAAATTTAGTATGAAATTGATATTTAATATTGTAATTTAAACGGAGAAATTATAAAAATAATAAAGAAGTTATATTTTGCTTTACTTTTACGTGTATAAAAATTTAAAGGGTTTGATACAATAATTTTCAAAAAAAAATTGTTTGTTATAGTAATAAATAAATGCACTGGACTACATGGAACTTTCATCAGAAGTAAAGTATACACTTTTAAATCAACTTTTCGCGTTGTTTTCAAATCTGCAATTAGACTTTTTCTATCAGTTCTAATATTTTATATTATACTAATTACATATAAAATAATAATTAAAAGAAAAACATTTGTTTTCAAATTATTACTGATTTGATTTTTAATATGTTAAAAATAATCAGTCCAAATTTTCATTTTTAACCTATTTTTTGGTTCTTTAAAGTTGATGAAAAGTTGTTTACAAGTTTTATGAAAGTTTAAAGTAAAAAAAATTGAATATGTTACCATAACTATTAGCTCAATTACAAGTTTGAAATTGACATCATTAAATAGAAAATTTTATGAGAGTTAAAACTATGCTATTTTTAAAACTAATTATTTAAAACTCATTATTTTTTTGCATTTTTATCGTAATAGAACACTTAAATAGAAATCATAGTAATTATTTCTAAGTAATTTTTGGTATTTAAAAAGATTCTACAATTGAAATATCCAGAACTGAATTAATTTTAATGATTTACTTTAACTAAAAAAAAAAAAGTTATCATTTTGAATCCTACTTGTGGGCAGGTAAAAGGTTAGATTTATAAAAAAAAACCAAATGATAAGTAAAAACATGAATCGAAATAAAAAAAAATTATACTGATTTGGTCATTTTTGATAAAGTTATAACAGTTAACAGAGTTATAAGTTTTATACACTGGACTTAAAGGAACTTTCATCAGAAACAAAAATATACTATTCTAAATCAACTTTTCGCGATGTTTTCAAATGTGAAATTAGACTTTTTCTATCACTTCTAAGATTTAATTTTATTAAAAAATAGTATTTACATATAAAAAAAAATATTGTTATAAATTAATACTGATTTTGATTATTAATAAGTTAAAAATAAGGAAAATGACATATTTAACCTATTTTTTTAATCGTTTAAAGTTGATTTTTGTAATTGTTTATAATAAAAAAAAATTATTTATTTTACCATAACTTTTAGCTTAATTGGCAAGTTTGAAATTAACATCATTAAATAGAAAATTTTATGAGAATTAAAAAAATTGTATCATTAAGATTAATATGCAGTCAGAAAGATTTATAATTATTATTTATTGAAAATTTATCAGAAAAGCTCAATTTTTTTTAGCATTTTTATCGTAATAGATAACTTAAATTGGAGTAATAGTAATAATTTCCTAGTAACTTTTGGTGTTTGAAAAAATTCTGCAATTGACACATTCAGAATTTATTTCATTTTAATGATTTACTTTAACTAAATGAACCAATCAAAATAAAGTTGTTAAAAAGATTTACTCAATTGAACGTATAATAAAATTTGATTATAATTGTAAAAATCCATTGTTAATTCAGGAGAAACTAACAATCATTTTTTTTAAAAATGATTTATATAGCATCATGTTACCAACAAATTTTGAATATTATAGTCTAGTAGTAGCACACACAAATACAGTAAAATATTATTAAATTAATAAGTAAAATGATTTAATTTTGTAGTTGAAACCAATCATATCAAACTTAATTCGTCAATAAATATTTTGAAAACATTAGAAATGAATGATTTTAATTGTCTGTATGGAGAACATGGGATAAGTAACTGTTTAATTGATAAATTAGAATTTTTTTTCAATTTTTGAGGGTAATATCTTCAACTAGATACGAATTGAAGTCATTTGACGTATCGTTGATAAAAGTAGGTCAAGTTAGAGAAGAGAAAATAAATAATAGTCACAAAAAAATATTTTCTCATCTTCGCATCGAAGCTAAAACTTAAAATATAGTAAAAATAATTTTAATATGAATAAAAAATTTCTTCTCACAAGTGGCGACAACAGTGATGGAATCCTTGATCTTTATTGAAGTTATTGAATCTAAATGAGATAAAAATCAAAGCAGTTGGGCTCAGCAACCGTACGTCGCTAACGTCGGTTGAAAAAATTGGCTATTTAAGCTAGTTCAAATTTCAAAATTATTTTACTCGACTTCAAAAAGCAAAAAAATTTAAATAAGTTTAACTTTCTATGCTATATCAATTTTTTTTTTTTTATATAATATTTAAGAAATTCTGTACTCCCCTTGTGAGGTATTTTAAAATAAAATACAAAACCCAGAATTTTACACACAAAAATAGCATATTTTTCAATACGGTAGTCATTTTTACCATGAAGACAAAAATCCAGAGGTCAATTTTTTTTTCAAATTAAAGTATANTTTTTAAGGGTAATGTCTTCAACTAGATACGATTTGTGATCTTTTGACGTATTTTTTAAAGAAATCGGTCCAGTGAGAGCTGAGAAAAAGTGGCAACAGACATAAAAAAAAAAAAAAACACATCATAGTAAAATTAATACCTTCTCCGCTACGCATCGAAGCTAAAAAAAATAAAATGTTTGCGCTTTTAATTTAATAGTAAATGGCATTTGAATATTTATTAAAACTTTATTACTTTATTAGATATAAAAATTTAAAGTTTCAAATTTTTAAGGTAATATATATGTATAATTCGCGAGGGAATACAAATACAGGTAGCTAATTGGTTTTTTATGACATTCATATTAGCAGGTACACAGCTTATTTGTGAGCTAATTGCGAGATTATAAATATACATGTATATTAACTAAAAAATTTGAAACCCCCTCTGTGGGCAGGTCTAGGGTCAAATTTACAAAAAAAATATACCAAATGATAGAAAAGACATTAAGCATCTATAAAAAAAAAATTTATTGATTCGTTCATTTTTGAAAAAGTTATGGTAGTTTTAAGTAAAAAAAATTGAAAAAATTTCGAAAATTAGCGATTTTTAAATTTGTAATTTTTATGGAGGTTTCCCCCATTTACAGGGAACGAGGGAAATTTTTTCAATTTCTGAGGGTAATGTCTTCGACTAGATACGATTTGTGATCTTTTGACGTATCGTTGAAAGAAATCCGTTCGGTGAGAGCTGAGTAAAAGTGGTAACAGACAAAAAAAAAAAAAAAAAATTATCATAGTAAAATTAATACTTTCTTAGCTTCCCTACGAAGCTAAAAACCCTTCGATGCAAATCTTTAGATAGTTTTTAATTTTAAAAAATTGGTGGATTATTCCAAAAGCTACTTGATCTGCTATTTCCTTATTTTTATCCTGATAAAGATAAAGTATGTCAAATAAAAGATGCATATAAATACTACTTCTTATGAAATATTATATTGATCCATACATTTTATTAAAAGTTATAGCATTTTAAAGTAAGAAATGTCCAATATAAAATCAAAAATTTTTTCACAAAAATAGCATTCGGTAGTCATTTTCATCACGAAAACAAGTCCAGAGGTCAATTTTTTTTCCCTAATAAATTACATTCCATTAGCTTTAATTTAAGATATATATAAAAGTGTCAGACCTTCCGGAACATTTTCAAAATTTAAGTTAAAAAAATTAATTTTTTGTGAAAAAGTTGTCATTTTAAATCCCCTCTTGGGGCAAATAAAGGGTCAGATTTATAAATATATATATCAAATGATACGTAAAGACATCAAGCATTCATATAAAAAAAAATTATATTGATTTGTTTATTTTTGAAAAAGTTATGGTAGTTTTAAGAAAAAAATATAAAAAAATTTCAAAAATTACTGAATTTTAAATTTGTAATTTTTTTGGAGATTTTCCCCATTTAGGGGGAACGAGGAAAATTTTTTCAATTTCTTAGGGTAATATCTTTGACTAGATACGATTTGTGATCTTTTGACGTAAAACGTTAAAAAAGATGGGTTCAGTGAGAGATGAGAAAAAGTGATAACGGACACAACAAAAAAAAACACATCATAAAAAAACCAATATCTTCTCAGCTTCGCAAAACTTCGAAACTAAAAAACACAAAATGATAAAATTAATACCTTCTCAGTTTTGCATCATTTTTGACGCTAATTATATGGTTCAACTAATATAATTTTTTCAAATTTCTCTTAAAAATGCAATAATATGTAATGACGATAATACTTTTTTATGAAAATTATATAAATTATGAAAACTCACAGAAAAAATTAAGTAATCATTATATTTAAATTTTATTTATTTAATTGGAAATGTTATAAAATTAAATAAACCATCTCTAGAAAATAATGTAATAACTGTGGTATATGAAAAACCAGATACAAATATGAATAGTATATTTAACTTAATATTTTTGTAAAAAAGTTACCATTTTGAAACCCTTCCTGTGGGCTGGTAAAGGGTCAAATGTTCACAAAACTATATAAAATGATAGGTAAATACCTAAAGAATCTAAAAAGAAATATATATATAATCATTCGGTTATTTTTAAAAAAGTTATGGCAGTTTTAAGTAAAAAAAACGGTAGCACAGTGTAGACGAGCCATAGATGGGACGAGTATAGATGATATCTGACAGTAATTAAAATCACTATCATAAGAAACGCTTCGATGCAAATCTGTAGATAGTGTTTCATTTTGAGAAATCGGTAAATTATTCCAAAAGCAACTCTTATTTCTTTGATTATATCCTGATTAGTAGTTCTTTGATTTTAAATATAATATATAAATCAATACTAATTATAATTATTAAATTTAGTATGAAATTGATGTTCAGTAATTTAATATTGTAATTTAAACGGAGAAATTATAAAAATAATAAAGAAGTTATATTTTGCTTTACTTTTACGTGTATAAAAATTTAAAGGGTTTGATACAATAATTTTCAAAAAAAAATTGTTTGTTATAGTAATAAATAAATGCACTGGACTACATGGAACTTTCATCAGAAGTAAAGTATACACTTTTAAATCAACTTTTCGCGTTGTTTTCAAATCTGCAATTAGACTTTTTCTATCAGTTCTAATATTTTATATTATACTAATTACATATAAAATAATAATTAAAAGAAAAACATTTGTTTTCAAATTATTACTGATTTGATTTTTAATATGTTAAAAATAATCAGTCCAAATTTTCATTTTTAACCTATTTTTTGGTTCTTTAAAGTTGATGAAAAGTTGTTTACAAGTTTTATGAAAGTTTAAAGTAAAAAAAATTGAATATGTTACCATAACTATTAGCTCAATTACAAGTTTGAAATTGACATCATTAAATAGAAAATTTTATGAGAGTTAAAACTATGCTATTTTTAAAACTAATTATTTAAAACTCATTATTTTTTTGCATTTTTATCGTAATAGAACACTTAAATAGAAATCATAGTAATTATTTCTAAGTAATTTTTGGTATTTAAAAAGATTCTACAATTGAAATATCCAGAACTGAATTAATTTTAATGATTTACTTTAACTAAAAAAAAAAAAGTTATCATTTTGAATCCTACTTGTGGGCAGGTAAAAGGTTAGATTTATAAAAAAAAACCAAATGATAAGTAAAAACATGAATCGAAATAAAAAAAAATTATACTGATTTGGTCATTTTTGATAAAGTTATAACAGTTAACAGAGTTATAAGTTTTATACACTGGACTTAAAGGAACTTTCATCAGAAACAAAAATATACTATTCTAAATCAACTTTTCGCGATGTTTTCAAATGTGAAATTAGACTTTTTCTATCACTTCTAAGATTTAATTTTATTAAAAAATAGTATTTACATATAAAAAAAAATATTGTTATAAATTAATACTGATTTTGATTATTAATAAGTTAAAAATAAGGAAAATGACATATTTAACCTATTTTTTTAATCGTTTAAAGTTGATTTTTGTAATTGTTTATAATAAAAAAAAATTATTTATTTTACCATAACTTTTAGCTCAATTGGTAAGTTTGACNATTTAAAAAGATTCTACTATTGAAATATCCAGAACTGAATTAATTTTAATGATTTACTTTAACTAAAAAAAAAAAAGTTATCATTTTGAATCCTACTTGTGGGCAGGTAAAAGGTTAGATTTATAAAAAAAAACCAAATGATAAGTAAAAACATGAATCGAAATAAAAAAAAATTATACTGATTTGGTCATTTTTGATAAAGTTATAACAGTTAACAGAGTTATAAGTTTTATACACTGGACTTAAAGGAACTTTCATCAGAAACAAAAATATACTATTCTAAATCAACTTTTCGCGATGTTTTCAAATGTGAAATTAGACTTTTTCTATCACTTCTAAGATTTAATTTTATTAAAAAATAGTATTTACATATAAAAAAAAATATTGTTATAAATTAATACTGATTTTGATTATTAATAAGTTAAAAATAAGGAAAATGACATATTTAACCTATTTTTTTAATCGTTTAAAGTTGATTTTTGTAATTGTTTATAATAAAAAAAAATTATTTATTTTACCATAACTTTTAGCTTAATTGGCAAGTTTGAAATTAACATCATTAAATAGAAAATTTTATGAGAATTAAAAAAATTGTATCATTAAGATTAATATGCAGTCAGAAAGATTTATAATTATTATTTATTGAAAATTTATCAGAAAAGCTCAATTTTTTTTAGCATTTTTATCGTAATAGATAACTTAAATTGGAGTAATAGTAATAATTTCCTAGTAACTTTTGGTGTTTGAAAAAATTCTGCAATTGACACATTCAGAATTTATTTCATTTTAATGATTTACTTTAACTAAATGAACCAATCAAAATAAAGTTGTTAAAAAGATTTACTCAATTGAACGTATAATAAAATTTGATTATAATTGTAAAAATCCATTGTTAATTCAGGAGAAACTAACAATCATTTTTTTTAAAAATGATTTATATAGCATCATGTTACCAACAAATTTTGAATATTATAGTCTAGTAGTAGCACACACAAATACAGTAAAATATTATTAAATTAATAAGTAAAATGATTTAATTTTGTAGTTGAAACCAATCATATCAAACTTAATTCGTCAATAAATATTTTGAAAACATTAGAAATGAATGATTTTAATTGTCTGTATGGAGAACATGGGATAAGTAACTGTTTAATTGATAAATTAGAATTTTTTTTCAATTTTTGAGGGTAATATCTTCAACTAGATACGAATTGAAGTCATTTGACGTATCGTTGATAAAAGTAGGTCAAGTTAGAGAAGAGAAAATAAATAATAGTCACAAAAAAATATTTTCTCATCTTCGCATCGAAGCTAAAACTTAAAATATAGTAAAAATAATTTTAATATGAATAAAAAATTTCTTCTCACAAGTGGCGACAACAGTGATGGAATCCTTGATCTTTATTGAAGTTATTGAATCTAAATGAGATAAAAATCAAAGCAGTTGGGCTCAGCAACCGTACGTCGCTAACGTCGGTTGAAAAAATTGGCTATTTAAGCTAGTTCAAATTTCAAAATTATTTTACTCGACTTCAAAAAGCAAAAAAATTTAAATAAGTTTAACTTTCTATGCTATATCAATTTTTTTTTTTTTATATAATATTTAAGAAATTCTGTACTCCCCTTGTGAGGTATTTTAAAATAAAATACAAAACCCAGAATTTTACACACAAAAATAGCATATTTTTCAATACGGTAGTCATTTTTACCATGAAGACAAAAATCCAGAGGTCAATTTTTTTTTCAAATTAAAGTATACTACATAAGCTTTAATTTAAGGTATATATAAAAGTGTCAGTAATTCCGGAATACTTTCAAAAATTAAATTTAAAATGTCCTAGTTTCCTAAAGTAATGTAAAAGTAAAGTAAAAAAGTAATGTAAATATTATAATATTTAAAAATTTGAAATATGTGTTTCACAAATTCATGTTAGAAAATTTTTTTATGGAAATACATAAAATTTATGTATATAGATCACATAAATAATTCTAAATTTGATTGTTTTCAGGAATTAACAACTCAATAAATTAACATGTGTAACTTAAGTTTTAGAAAAATAAAAATACACGATAAAAATTTCTCTAAAATGAACTATAAATATTGTGGTTTAACATACTGTTTTCATATTCATAACTGTATCTAGCTGTTTTATTTAATTTACTTGTCATCATATTATCACAAAATGTATAATCAAATTGTCTTTATAATTTGTGTTTTGTGTATTTCCATTGCAACCATTGATGGAGCAGGCAGTTCATCGGTATTTATACAATTATTAAAAAAAAAACTTTATAATAATACATTGAACTATGGGCGATTAATTTAAAATTTTTAACAAAAATGATTTTTTCTGTATACTGTGTAATTTATAATAGTAATTTTTTTAAGATATTTGTTTGATAACAATATTTTACAAAAATATACTGATTAAAATTTCATTTATTTTTATTATTCATTTATTTTATACAATTACAAACAATTGAATTAATTCATAAAAAAGGTACATAATAAATTTTAATAATAATTAAAGGCTTCTTTTTTTTCGCAAATAGGTGAAAAAAACAGTAGAAAATTTTTTTTATTTGTTTCATATTCGAACACTACTAATTTTTTTAAACTTATAATTGTTTAACTTTTATAAAAACGCACAGCTAACATTGTCTAGTGGTAATAATTATAATAATATTTAGTAAATAGGATCAAATTTTCATAAACTTATTGTTTTTTTTACATGTTTTTTATAGCATTATGAAAATTTTTGACTAATATTAAGATATATTTTCTAAATATTTAGGAGTCAGGTTTTTTTTTTATATTCGGGAAAAATTAGTTCAACTAGATAAAATCATCTCCTCCAACAAAACCAATCGTAAATACATATTTTTTTTCCTCTTCATTACATATACAATATATTTTTCTTATCTACTTACAAAAATAAATTAATTTTCCAATAAGGAATAAAATCATTCAAAATATTTAAAAAAAACACTTATGCGCCGTTAGTAACGACTGTTTTCATTGAATATATCAAAATATTATATATTCAATTAAGTAAAATTAAAACTATATTAAAAATATTATTAATTTAAAAAACTAAAAAATATTAAACTCAAAGCCACAAAAAATTAATGAAACGTCGGGGATACGTATTTCGGAAACAATGTTACCATTATCAACGCTAAACACATACTGACANGTGGGCAAATAAAGGGTCAGATTTATAAATATATATATCAAATGATACGTAAAGACATCAAGCATTCATATAAAAAAAAATTATATTGATTTGTTTATTTTTGAAAAAGTTATGGTAGTTTTAAGAAAAAAATATAAAAAAATTTCAAAAATTACTGAATTTTAAATTTGTAATTTTTTTGGAGATTTTCCCCATTTAGGGGGAACGAGGAAAATTTTTTCAATTTCTTAGGGTAATATCTTTGACTAGATACGATTTGTGATCTTTTGACGTAAAACGTTAAAAAAGATGGGTTCAGTGAGAGATGAGAAAAAGTGATAACGGACACAACAAAAAAAAACACATCATAAAAAAACCAATATCTTCTCAGCTTCGCAAAACTTCGAAACTAAAAAACACAAAATGATAAAATTAATACCTTCTCAGTTTTGCATCATTTTTGACGCTAATTATATGGTTCAACTAATATAATTTTTTCAAATTTCTCTTAAAAATGCAATAATATGTAATGACGATAATACTTTTTTATGAAAATTATATAAATTATGAAAACTCACAGAAAAAATTAAGTAATCATTATATTTAAATTTTATTTATTTAATTGGAAATGTTATAAAATTAAATAAACCATCTCTAGAAAATAATGTAATAACTGTGGTATATGAAAAACCAGATACAAATATGAATAGTATATTTAACTTAATATTTTTGTAAAAAAGTTACCATTTTGAAACCCTTCCTGTGGGCTGGTAAAGGGTCAAATGTTCACAAAACTATATAAAATGATAGGTAAATACCTAAAGAATCTAAAAAGAAATATATATATAATCATTCGGTTATTTTTAAAAAAGTTATGGCAGTTTTAAGTAAAAAAAACGGTAGCACAGTGTAGACGAGCCATAGATGGGACGAGTATAGATGATATCTGACAGTAATTAAAATCACTATCATAAGAAACGCTTCGATGCAAATCTGTAGATAGTGTTTCATTTTGAGAAATCGGTAAATTATTCCAAAAGCAACTCTTATTTCTTTGATTATATCCTGATTAGTAGTTCTTTGATTTTAAATATAATATATAAATCAATACTAATTATAATTATTAAATTTAGTATGAAATTGATGTTCAGTAATTTAATATTGTAATTTAAACGGAGAAATTATAAAAATAATAAAGAAGTTATATTTTGCTTTACTTTTACGTGTATAAAAATTTAAAGGGTTTGATACAATAATTTTCAAAAAAAAATTGTTTGTTATAGTAATAAATAAATGCACTGGACTACATGGAACTTTCATCAGAAGTAAAGTATACACTTTTAAATCAACTTTTCGCGTTGTTTTCAAATCTGCAATTAGACTTTTTCTATCAGTTCTAATATTTTATATTATACTAATTACATATAAAATAATAATTAAAAGAAAAACATTTGTTTTCAAATTATTACTGATTTGATTTTTAATATGTTAAAAATAATCAGTCCAAATTTTCATTTTTAACCTATTTTTTGGTTCTTTAAAGTTGATGAAAAGTTGTTTACAAGTTTTATGAAAGTTTAAAGTAAAAAAAATTGAATATGTTACCATAACTATTAGCTCAATTACAAGTTTGAAATTGACATCATTAAATAGAAAATTTTATGAGAGTTAAAACTATGCTATTTTTAAAACTAATTATTTAAAACTCATTATTTTTTTGCATTTTTATCGTAATAGAACACTTAAATAGAAATCATAGTAATTATTTCTAAGTAATTTTTGGTATTTAAAAAGATTCTACAATTGAAATATCCAGAACTGAATTAATTTTAATGATTTACTTTAACTAAAAAAAAAAAAGTTATCATTTTGAATCCTACTTGTGGGCAGGTAAAAGGTTAGATTTATAAAAAAAAACCAAATGATAAGTAAAAACATGAATCGAAATAAAAAAAAATTATACTGATTTGGTCATTTTTGATAAAGTTATAACAGTTAACAGAGTTATAAGTTTTATACACTGGACTTAAAGGAACTTTCATCAGAAACAAAAATATACTATTCTAAATCAACTTTTCGCGATGTTTTCAAATGTGAAATTAGACTTTTTCTATCACTTCTAAGATTTAATTTTATTAAAAAATAGTATTTACATATAAAAAAAAATATTGTTATAAATTAATACTGATTTTGATTATTAATAAGTTAAAAATAAGGAAAATGACATATTTAACCTATTTTTTTAATCGTTTAAAGTTGATTTTTGTAATTGTTTATAATAAAAAAAAATTATTTATTTTACCATAACTTTTAGCTCAATTGGTAAGTTTGACNGAATTTATTTCATTTTAATGATTTACTTTAACTAAATGAACCAATCAAAATAAAGTTGTTAAAAAGATTTACTCAATTGAACGTATAATAAAATTTGATTATAATTGTAAAAATCCATTGTTAATTCAGGAGAAACTAACAATCATTTTTTTTAAAAATGATTTATATAGCATCATGTTACCAACAAATTTTGAATATTATAGTCTAGTAGTAGCACACACAAATACAGTAAAATATTATTAAATTAATAAGTAAAATGATTTAATTTTGTAGTTGAAACCAATCATATCAAACTTAATTCGTCAATAAATATTTTGAAAACATTAGAAATGAATGATTTTAATTGTCTGTATGGAGAACATGGGATAAGTAACTGTTTAATTGATAAATTAGAATTTTTTTTCAATTTTTGAGGGTAATATCTTCAACTAGATACGAATTGAAGTCATTTGACGTATCGTTGATAAAAGTAGGTCAAGTTAGAGAAGAGAAAATAAATAATAGTCACAAAAAAATATTTTCTCATCTTCGCATCGAAGCTAAAACTTAAAATATAGTAAAAATAATTTTAATATGAATAAAAAATTTCTTCTCACAAGTGGCGACAACAGTGATGGAATCCTTGATCTTTATTGAAGTTATTGAATCTAAATGAGATAAAAATCAAAGCAGTTGGGCTCAGCAACCGTACGTCGCTAACGTCGGTTGAAAAAATTGGCTATTTAAGCTAGTTCAAATTTCAAAATTATTTTACTCGACTTCAAAAAGCAAAAAAATTTAAATAAGTTTAACTTTCTATGCTATATCAATTTTTTTTTTTTTATATAATATTTAAGAAATTCTGTACTCCCCTTGTGAGGTATTTTAAAATAAAATACAAAACCCAGAATTTTACACACAAAAATAGCATATTTTTCAATACGGTAGTCATTTTTACCATGAAGACAAAAATCCAGAGGTCAATTTTTTTTTCAAATTAAAGTATACTACATAAGCTTTAATTTAAGGTATATATAAAAGTGTCAGTAATTCCGGAATACTTTCAAAAATTAAATTTAAAATGTCCTAGTTTCCTAAAGTAATGTAAAAGTAAAGTAAAAAAGTAATGTAAATATTATAATATTTAAAAATTTGAAATATGTGTTTCACAAATTCATGTTAGAAAATTTTTTTATGGAAATACATAAAATTTATGTATATAGATCACATAAATAATTCTAAATTTGATTGTTTTCAGGAATTAACAACTCAATAAATTAACATGTGTAACTTAAGTTTTAGAAAAATAAAAATACACGATAAAAATTTCTCTAAAATGAACTATAAATATTGTGGTTTAACATACTGTTTTCATATTCATAACTGTATCTAGCTGTTTTATTTAATTTACTTGTCATCATATTATCACAAAATGTATAATCAAATTGTCTTTATAATTTGTGTTTTGTGTATTTCCATTGCAACCATTGATGGAGCAGGCAGTTCATCGGTATTTATACAATTATTAAAAAAAAAACTTTATAATAATACATTGAACTATGGGCGATTAATTTAAAATTTTTAACAAAAATGATTTTTTCTGTATACTGTGTAATTTATAATAGTAATTTTTTTAAGATATTTGTTTGATAACAATATTTTACAAAAATATACTGATTAAAATTTCATTTATTTTTATTATTCATTTATTTTATACAATTACAAACAATTGAATTAATTCATAAAAAAGGTACATAATAAATTTTAATAATAATTAAAGGCTTCTTTTTTTTCGCAAATAGGTGAAAAAAACAGTAGAAAATTTTTTTTATTTGTTTCATATTCGAACACTACTAATTTTTTTAAACTTATAATTGTTTAACTTTTATAAAAACGCACAGCTAACATTGTCTAGTGGTAATAATTATAATAATATTTAGTAAATAGGATCAAATTTTCATAAACTTATTGTTTTTTTTACATGTTTTTTATAGCATTATGAAAATTTTTGACTAATATTAAGATATATTTTCTAAATATTTAGGAGTCAGGTTTTTTTTTTATATTCGGGAAAAATTAGTTCAACTAGATAAAATCATCTCCTCCAACAAAACCAATCGTAAATACATATTTTTTTTCCTCTTCATTACATATACAATATATTTTTCTTATCTACTTACAAAAATAAATTAATTTTCCAATAAGGAATAAAATCATTCAAAATATTTAAAAAAAACACTTATGCGCCGTTAGTAACGACTGTTTTCATTGAATATATCAAAATATTATATATTCAATTAAGTAAAATTAAAACTATATTAAAAATATTATTAATTTAAAAAACTAAAAAATATTAAACTCAAAGCCACAAAAAATTAATGAAACGTCGGGGATACGTATTTCGGAAACAATGTTACCATTATCAACGCTAAACACATACTGACAATTATATTATATATTCAAATTAGTATTATAATTTTAATTTTGTAATTAAAATGAATTATTTTTAATGGAATAGAATTTTAAAGATGAAGATATTGGTGTTACAATATTTAATGAGTTCAGTGAAGATAATAAGATGACACTTATACAATTTTCAGCGGCTTTGAATTTTATCAAAAAATCTGTAAACGGAAATGAACTGGTAGGCGCGTTTAATAACATGAAAAAAAAAGGTAATGTAAATATAGTTGGTTAATTATTACATTGAATCTTTTATAATATGAGGATAGACAAAGTAATCAATTAAAAATAAGACAGTTATCCTCAAAAAACAAACTAAAATTTTAAGTTGACGTAAAAAGAAAATTTATTAGGTTAAAAAATCTATTGATATTATGTTTAAATTATATAGCCACACTTTTTTAGTTTCTTAAAAATCAACTATTATTAGCTTCAATGCAAAAGAAAATACTTCAAAAAATTACAATTGATATAAAACAGTCAATGTAGATATTTTTAGTTTTCATTTTTTTATAATGTAATATACTATTATAAATTTATCGATTAATATAATTTTTTTATGATAAATACTATTTATATACCTCTTTCATTCGACATACTTTTTTTTTTAAATCAGACCATTGCTCTTTATACACGTATATGTATAAATATGTATATATATTAGGGTGGTTCAAAAAACAAGACTTCAAATATTTGATCACGTCATGTCTTCAAAATGTCTTCAACTAGATACGATTAGTGATCTTTTGACATGTTGTTCATCAAAATCTGTCCAGCGAAAGCTGAAAAAAAGTGGCAACAGACAAAAATAAAAACACATTATGGTAAAATTAATATCTTCTCAGCTTCGTATCGAAGCTAAAAATAAATAAAGTTAATTTATTTACATTAATGGATTTTTATATTTATATCTTTATATACTACCTGTAAAAGATATTGTTTTTGGTAATTTTTTTTTAAATTAATTACTCTTATCGAAGATATTTTTAGTCGACTATTATTATAACTTTCATTATCACTCCATTTAGCTGAATCTAATTGAAGAAAGTCCGTTGAAATATGAAATCGTGAAAATATGTTCATGGAGATAGTCGATATCAAGTCTGTTGGTAGATCAGAGTTTATAAATGAAGAAATATCTTTTGTATTTGCTGTATACGCTTTTTTACATTTTTTGTTATGACTGATAACGCCACTCGCACTACCACCACCGGTTGTGCGAGAATTCATTTATTACGTTGGATGCTTGTGTACGTGATTCTTATGTCTTACCGAGTTATTGTCGGTTTCCTTTGGTGAGTTTTGCGTTTTTCGCTGCCATTCATAAATTGTTAGATAGTTCTACGATGCTTGCGAGTCCGTAGTTGTTTTAAAAACTTTGTTTATCGCCCTTGCGATACGCTCATTCATTCACACAAATTCTCGATAGCACATTCACTCGATGAGTATTCAACAGCATCCTTCATATTTATTGTAGTTATTCAATTTAAATGAGATAAAGTCAAACGAACATTATATTTCATAAAAATTGATGGACTCATTAAACTGATAGTTTAATCATTTTTTCATTTGAGATTATTTTTTATATGATAAGTTAGTCATCTGGTTATAAACACTTTATTTATGAAATATTTTTAATTGCTAAGGAATCAAATGATAAAGGTATTAGTATTAATGATCACACTATTCAAAAACATACAACTGCACGCAGATAAATCAGTATATTTTCAATGTTAGTAAATACTTAATGACATCAATACTATGACAAATCCTTATTAAGTATTTTAACGTAAACAAAATAAAAATCAAATTTGTACACAAAAAAGCATGTTTTTTAACTATTGCAATCATTGCAATGTCGTCGGGACAATTTTTTTTTCATTTATAGTATGTAAAATTACATATGTTTTAATGACACAGTTTTTGCGGAATATTTTCAAAACAAAAGTTAAAAAAGACTTTTGTAAAAAGTTGCCATGTGAATCCCACATGTGAACAGGTAAACGGTCAGTTTATCATAAAATTTATATCAAATGAAAGAGAAATACCAAAGGTTTCAATATAAAAAAAATTATCTTGGTTCGTTCATATAAAAAAGTTATTGCAGTTTATAGTATCAAAATAACATTGATTTTTTACACAAATATAATATTTTTTGTTCAATTTGACGGTCATCTTCACATAGAAGTTAGGTGGTCGGCACAATTTTTTTTTTTTTGTAACTTAGAGTACATAATGTAAGCTTTATTTTTACATATGCTTAAAAAATGTAGTTTTTTCGGAACATTTTCAAATATTAAGTTGAAAAAATTATAATTTTTATACGCATTTATTCGTTTTGAACGCCCTCTGTATAAGGGAAAATTTCCCAATTAAAAAAAAAAAGTATGTTGGATAAAAGTTATCTATATAATGTATTTAGAAACAAAAATTTGTGTTGATCCATATATTTTTTAAAAAGTAATAGCAGTTTAAAGTTGAAAATATAAAATCGAAAATTTAAACAAAAAAATAGTATGTTTTTAACTACGGCAGCTTATTGCACATAGGAGATAAGTTTTTTAATTTATAGTATGAAATATAAAACTTTCATTTAACATACATAATTTAAAGAACGCAGTATTGCCAGAATATTTTAAAAGTTAAGTTGAAAAAATTGACTTTTGAAAAAAGTTGTTATTTTTAATTCCCCCTTGTGAGAAGGTTTAGTGTCAGATTTTCAAAAAAATATATCAATTAAAAGGTAATTACCTAAGATTTTTATATTGCACAAAAATCATTTTGGTTTTTGGATTATTCAATAAGTTATGATAATTTTTTAAAAATTATATTTTTATTGCTCCTCAAAACCCTATATCTATAGAATCTTTTCCGAGCTTGACACAATCATTCTCCAAAAAAAATACGTAAGAAGTTGGTTCAAATGATTACTTTTAACATATTAAAAATCGATAATAATTTGAAAATAATTAATTATAAAAATTATATAATATATAATTAAACGAATTACTAATCTGGATATAATTAAGGAAATAGGAGTTGATGTTGGGTTGGGTTGGTTACATTTTTAACTTTATAATGTTACAACACATTGAAAAGTGTATGAATCAACACAATTTTTTTATGAGAAATAATATTTTTTAATAATCCCTTTTTCATTCGACATACGTTATCTTAATCAAGGTATTAATAAGGAACTAGCAGATCATGCAGCTTTTGTAATTATCCACCAATTTCTTAGAATTAAACACTATCTACTGATTTGCATCGAAGCGTTTCTTATGATAGTGATTTTAATCACTGTCAGATTAAATCTATACTGGACCCAACTATGCAACGCCTCACTATGCCGCGACTCCACTGTGCTGGGTTTTTTTTTTCTTTTGTATAGTCTTAGTTCTATTGTATAGTCTTAGTTTCTATTGTATAGTTTTATCTTAATCGTTTAGCTATAATAATACTTCTGTATTGAAATCTAATAATAAAAAAAAAAAATTATATTTTTTTGGTGGATTTTCACCATTTACGGGGAAAGAAGGAAAAATTTAAAATTTTTCAACTATATATGATTTTTGATCTTTTAACGTATAGTTGAAAAAATCAGTCTAATGAACGATTAGAAAAAGTAGTGACACACACAAAAAAAATAATAATAACATAATAATTTTACTTTGTAATTTATTAATTTTTAGCTTTGATGCCAAGCTGAGGAGGTTTTAATTTTACTACGATGTATTTCAATTTATTTATTTAATATACTTTATAAGGGGTGTACACTGATTTTCGTGAATATTATATAAATATAATTGACATAGAATATAAAGATATGTAATTTTTTTTTTTCAAGTCAAATCTTTTTAAAAACCAAAAGTTAATTAGAAATGATAAATGCGATTTCTATATAAGTAATCTCTTACAATAAGAATGTAAATAAAAATATTCATCTATTCTAATAAATTTACTTTAAATAGTAAATATAAAATTTCCTGATTGCATATTAATCTTAACAATAACATTTTTTTAAATCTCATAAAATTTTCTATTTACTATTGATGTTAATTTCAAACTTGCAGTTGAGCTAAAATTTATGATAGTTTATTCATTTTTTTTTTTTTACTATAAACTTTCACAAACATTTTCCTTATGACAAAGTTTACTTATCAATACTTAAAGTACACGAGTTAAACAGAAAACACTAAATTTATTATTTATGTACACTAGACATTAATTAGCTTGTTAATTATAAGTTCAATAATCCTTAGTTATTTATCTCTTTAGGAAAGGATTACATAACTGTATCAGCATTTACAAATTATGAAAAAGTTAGTGAACAACTAAATGAATTAAACGCCTTAAAAAATGCATTTTATATGTTTTGCCCTACTGGGAGTGAAATTGATAAAACTACTCTTGCTCGAAGTCTGGAAAGCTTATCCAATAGTAGTGTATGTACTGAAACTGATTGCTTAAATTTGATAACAGAAAGTTGGCCAACAAAAACTTCTTTTAATGTCCTAGGTAATTATTGAGTCAATAAATAGTATATTTTACTAATTTAAAGAAAATCTTAAATGTAAGAATAATTAAATGATATAACTATAGTAAATCAAAAGTAAGATGGGAGTAGTTGATTTATTATAGAGAAATAAATATGTACAATAAATGATATTTTTTTAAATGTAATTTAAATTCGCTCAGGAAAACGAAATAATATATATTATTTGACGATATATTTTGTGTAATACTAGTTGATGTATTTATAAATGTTTACTCGAAATAATGTGTCTTAAGACCACACTTTAAACATATGTTTACAGAGTCTTAATTTATCATAAATGAAATTAGCGACGTCATAAAAAAACTTTGTGAACAAAGTGTTAATTTACAATAAATTCTAAATATCTGCATAGTGGCGTCATAAAAAAACAATAGGCTATATATATGTATTTTGTTAAGTCGCTACTTACAAGGGGAGATCACAGTGATGGGGTCACCTATTTTCACAAAATTTATATAAATTTAAAAATCTATATTAAATACAAAATATGAAGTATTTTGAATTTTTTGCCAATGCCTTCCCTAAGTCAAGAAAATTGACTTTGAACATTTTTAATGAGCTTCCATAGGGTAATTTTTCAAAAAAAAAACATTTGGCTATCTGTATTTATAATCGCACAACTATTTTATATATAAAATAGTTAATGTAACAATATACATATATATATATATAACTATATATAACTCATATTACAATTATATATTTTTTCAGTGCACTATTGTTATAAATAATTCAGTTGTCTTTTTTTATATACAGGGTGGTCCACCACTCACTGACAACTTAAATAACTTTTGATCCAGTTAATATTTTTAGCTGATTTTTTTTTTAAATATTAGTTAGACGTTAGGTCTATAGCTATATCTCAATAATTAATTTTTTTACATTTTATTAAAAATATTAATTATTTTAAAATTTTAAATAAAAAGTAAAAAAAAAATCTAAGATAGCTATTTTGTAGAGTAGAATTTAAGAAAAATTTTAGTAAAAAAATATCTTATTAATATTCAGTAGTAAATATTCTGTAGCGTTTTGAAGTTTGTAAAAATTTGAATTTTCATGTACTATTTTACGGTTATAAACATTGAAATACGTATTGAGAAAAGGACAGAAGAAAACGCTATCTTTTCATGATTACTGTGTATACA